ATATACAGTTGTTATCATACAAATACTCAAAATGCCTCTAACTTGGGAACAGACATCTATGAATCCTTTACTTTTGGTGCTCTGGTGGAGATTCCTTCTATGCTAATTGTTTTGTTTGGTATAGATAAAATAGGACGACGTTGGCCTATTATTATTATGTCAATATTAGCTGGAATTGCTGGAATTATAACTTTTACTATTCCTGCAGGTAAGTAATTTATAGAATTTCAAAAATTATCTAAATTAGACCTTTAATATGTCTAATTATTAAAGGCCTTTATTGTTAATTTGTGAAATTCTTTGTTTTTCAATAAAATTAAACAATTTTTTAATTTTTTTTTATAAGATATAAAACAAAACTATATTTTCTAGGTAATTCTGAAGCCATTCTAGCTTTAGCATTAATACAAAGAATATGTATTACAGCTAACTATAATATTATCATACAATATTCAGCTGAATTATGTCCAACTGTATTGAGAGGACGTGGTTTAGCATTTTTGCGACTGATGGGAACTCTTGGACTTTTTCTCAGCCCATCAGTGGTTTATTTAGTAAGTTTATAGATACATGGAAATGTATTAAATTTTTTTACTATTTTTTAAATTATTTTAAATTTTGCATTATCATTTAGGGACTCTCATATTATTCACTACCTCTAATTATATCTGGAGGTGTTATGTTGTTAGTTGTAATATATGCAATTTTTCTACCTGAAACTTTGGGTCAACATCTTCCACATTCCATAGAAGATGGAGAAAACTTTGGAAAAGATCAGAATATTTTTGATTGTCCTTGTATAGCACCCAAGTATGTAAAAACATTTATAATTTAAATTTAAATCTATTCATTGTTTGTTTATATATAATTAAATATTTTAGGTTAGAAGATAGTAAAGAGAAGTCAGAATCATCTATTCCACAAGCAGTTTAGAACAGCTTTTTTTATTTTTATCAAATTAAATCATCGTCATTTGTTGATCTGATAATATTTATAGTATTTTAGTTTTTTATAATTTTATTTTTCTTTAAAATTTGATTTTTGCTAATATTATTGATTGTTTTGTTTTATTAGTAACATTTTGAAGTATATTTAAAATAATCTTGCAAGTTTAATAATTTACATTCTGAAAGTTAAGATGCATATCTGAGCAGCTTATGATTTCATTAAAAAATTTATTGTCAAATAAATATTAAGTTATTTATAACAATTGAATTGAAATGTAATATGCCTGTTTAATTGATAAAATTTTATAGAAGATTAATACCCAAAAATCCAATAACAAAAAAGAATAATCTGAAATATACATAAAGTGAAATTTAAAATATTTTAAAGACTGAATATTTTAAGTTGAATTAATAGAAACATTGATTAGTATAGAAATTAATGTAGAATTCCATCCAAAAAGACCTGACGCTTATAATGTACAAAGTTGATATTCCACTTGAGTAATGTTTCTCAAAAATTATGTATACTAAGCTATTAATTTTTAAAATTTAATTTTACAGAGAAGCAAGCAACAAAAATGACTAAAGGTAATAATATAGGTAATATAAAATTTAGGTTTTTTATTTTCTTTTCTTCTTTAATTCAAATACTACTATAACTATTTTTCTTTCCTTCTATACATTCAAAATAAGTAAGTTAATTAAATTAATTCTAATTAAATTTTAACTAGAATGATAGCATCATCATAATAATTTGTTCAAAAAATTAGCAGAATTATGACATAAGAGATCCAATTATTTGTCATGTAATTAATTATTAATCTATATATCAATTAGAACAGTAATAGAATTTTACAATTTACTTTAAATTGGTTACTTTACAAAACTCTGGGGAGAACAACAACAACATTGGGTACTCTAAAATCTTTCATCATTTTTAAGAGGTTTTGTAAATTAATAAATGCTCTCAACAATAAATATCAAAAGTATCCACTTTCTGCATTGCTGTATAAAGTTTTTTTATATATTTTTTTATTAATATTATTTTTTTTAAATCTTGTTTACATCTTAAGCTAAAAAGTCAGCAAGGATGCAGATATCATATATTTAACAAAACATAGACAATAACAGATATGTGAGAAGCAATTTTTGCAGAAAATATAGTAACTGAAAAGTTTTATTGTTGCAAAATCACTAAGAAATTTAGTGTATTTGGCATGGCTAATTTTAGTAGCATGTACAGTACAACATCCAGTCTGTTATTGATAAGTGTTTTGCAGCATATCTTAGGATATTGAAGTCACTGTCTTCATCATTCAGTGTTTCAGTTCTGCCATGTCAATAACCCTCTTTTCATATACCCTATTCTTTACAAAATAAACTACAAAGGCATAAGCTCAAGGGAGTCAGGATGCCATGGCATAGGACCATTATAGCCTATCCAACTTGTCTAAGAATTTGCAGGTCATCTCTAGTGTGATGATTCTCCATCTTACTGGAAAAAAGTTCAGGTTAATTT